ATGGGAGGGAGGGGGGGATACAGGGAGATGGGGATGGGGACAAGGGACACAGGGAGATGGCCGTGGAGTTGGGGGACACGGGGATGAGGGGGACACAGGGACGTGATGGGGACAGGGCCATGGGGACACGGGAGGGCCGAGCAGGGGGGATGGAGGGGACAGGGATGGTGACACACAGGGGATGGGGACAACAGGGACCGGGGGACAGGGTGGGGGGGACAGGGGCCAGCACCGGCAGGGGACAGGGCAGAGAAGAGACACTGTCACCTCCAGCCATGGCCACCCGCACGGGGGGACCTCGGGGATGTGGTCCCCTGGGGACCCCGGTATCCCCACTGTCCCTGAGGGTCCCTGCTGTCCCCAATGTCCCCAGGGGGTCCCCAATGTCCCCAGGAGCTCCTGGAGGGTCCCAGTGTCCCCAGAGGGTCCCCACTGTCCCTGGGTGTCCCCGCTGTCCCCAGTGACCCCAGTGTCCCCTGGAGGGTCCCCACTGTCCCCAATGTCCCCAGGGGGTCGCCAGTGTCCCCAGGGGGTCCTAGAAGGTCCCACTGTCCCTGGGGGTCCCCACTTTCCCCAGTGTCCCCAGGGGGTCCCGCTGTCCCAGGGGTTCCGGGAGGGACCCAGTGTCCCCAGGGGCTCCTGGAGGGTCCCTGCTGTCCCCACAGGGTACCCACTGTCCCTGGAGGGTCCCCAGTGTCCCCAGGGGGTCCTAGAGGGTCCCACTGTCCCCAGGGGGTCCCCGTTGTCCCCGGGGGGGTCTCACCCCGCTGCCTCTCGCGGGTCCGGGCTTTGCCGACGCGGCGCCGGGTGACCCCGCTTTTGGGTTTCTGCCGTCGCCGGTCCCCGGTGCCACCATCCTCGGAGGGGCCCAGGGAGGAGGTGACACTGTCATTGTCCGTCACCTCCCCGTTACGGGGGTCCCCCGTGTCCCCCCGCCGCGGCGCCGCCTTCCCGCGGCCGTGCTCCTCTGCAGGGCGGGGGACACATGCTCAGTGTTAGGGGGGGGGACACCCAGACATCCCACACCCCCAGGGACCCCCTCAATGTCCCCATGTCCCCCTGCCATGTCCCTGTGTCCCCCCATCCCCATGTCCACCCCATGTCCCCCCAAACCCCCTGACCCTGTCCCCTTATGT